ATACATACATACATACATACATACATACATACATACAACAACAACAACAACAACACCAATAATAATCACCAGTGTTATCACCAATATACATTGTCACATACGGTAGCATCACACGCTATTACTGGTACACACAAATACTTACAGCATGAATTTATATCATCCATGGTTGCAGCAAATCTTAAGATGTCAAGTAATGCGCGGTATGTTTTGATATGATATGTACGGTTTACGTACGAGGGTATTAACGGATTGAAATACGTATGACCAAATATCTCTGGGTGTAAAGGTAGCTGCTAGACAGAAACCTGAAGATTTAATTCAAGTTTATTGCCTTTTCACTATTCTTTTATGAAAACAAATCTTACGACGAAGTTGTAACCTTGGAATCACAGAGTGAATGATGGATTGCTGGACCTTGAAATGACTGCAGTACAACGATATCATACAAAGGTTAGTTTGTAAAGTTTTCTTTATTGTGTACTTGCATCGTAACATCGCACTTGTATTTCGTAAGATGAATGCTTAGATGTGCAATTCCTGGCAACTCTATAGGATAAGTTCTTACTCCGCGTTTTGAACTTTATAAAAGAAACAGAATAGATTTGAACATTAATTCAATAGATCCATTCCGTATTTAGATGCAAGCGATACATAATTACATAAATGTATATTTGTTAAATTTTTACTTTTGTTTTCACAAAAAAATTGCATAAAGATTCTTTACGTGGTTGGCTTTTGGGCGGTGTCGAGACGGAAATACATTGCCCCGGTTAAAACATGTATCCAGTTGGTGTAATAGTTTTATTACAAATCGAACAAAAAAAAACAATTTTTTAGTTGACTTAATTTTTGAAAAAATGTCTACAATTGAAACAGAAGCTTTAGTGGGTCGTCCATAGGACCACATCAAATATGCATCGTTACGTGTACCGATCAACTAAACTTGTGTCACAGACTCAGTATATAACGAGTGGTTCTCACCGTGGAAATCTTTGTTAGTAGACGACGTAGGCTTCTACGTGTGTCAGTTCGAGTCGCGATGATGTAAACCACTGCAAGTTATGATGTAGCAACACATATGACAACATTGTCCGGTCTGTCTGAGTGGCATACACTGATAGCGAATAGAATTCACTGTTTTTTCTTCTTTTTTTCTTCATTAAAGAAGACATGGCAAACAAACATAATCCTCCCAAATAAAAGAGCTCCGCAGATATAGGAGAATGTATGAATTTTTATGTCACTTTTCATTCTCTAAATATTCAACTTTTCGTCAGTTCTAGCATTTTGATTCCCCTACAAGGGATTATGGCTAAAGTATGACATCATAGCTACTTTTTTGAAACATTGAGAACATTTCAAGTTGTACCGAGCTTCAAATCACAATCTTAATAATTTAACCAATACAGTTAAATGCTCGTTTCGTTGACAAACAACATTACCTGTGTATATCCGAAAAAACACAACTACAATAAAGTTCACAGTTTTGACCAATATTTTATACCCAGCAAATTACTGTACCCTTACCAGTATGCGTACTAGCCAACTTGAGACTAGGACTCAGTATATAATTGTTGGCTCACATATCGGAATGCATTGGCGGGATACCACGTGTCTTTCTAGTGTGTGAGTTCAAACATGGCTACCGTATGAACCGATGTAAATACTGTGCTGCTGGCAAATATCCCCTAAGTTAAATCACTAAAAAAAATTTCATACTTAGCGGTGTCATTCTATAACTCTCATATGAGAAAAGACCGAAAGTCGGTGAAGATTTCGAGTGACGTCACGGTGAGTTTAAGACAGAAGTCAAGTGTACTCAAAAATAAAAGTTCCCGGATGTATCAATTTTGCGATAAATTGTACTGGCCAATATAAGGATGTTATTTAAAAAAGAATTGTGAACACTAGTCTATTTTTTTGAGAAAATAAGTTTATATTTGAGTGAATGATGGTCATTTTTTTTT